TCCGCAAGAACTACTTCACAGTTAGGGCGGCTAGGAGCTGGAACCAACTTCCTAGGGAAGTGGTGCTGGCTCCTACCCTGGGGATCTTTAAGAAGAGGCTTGATGACTACCTGGCTGGACTCATTTGAGTCCAGTCTTTTCTCCCACCCAGGCAGGGAGTCGGACTTGAAGATCTACAAGGTCCCTTCCGACCCTACTTCTATGATTCTATGATAGATTTGTACTTTATAATCTAACCCAGGGATGCTCAACCCCTTGCCCACAGGCCAAACTGGCCCCCAGAGCCATGGCATCCAGCCAGCAGGGCTCACAAGGGTGGGAAATTTGGCAGTGGGGGAGTGGTTGCAATTAATACTGCTATCCCTTCCCTGCTGCCAAATTCCCAAGCCCTGCACAGCTGGGTCTAGGGCTGGGCCATGCCCTCTTTCCCCCTGGTCTGCATTGCTGGCCACACCTCCTTCCCCCTGCATGGTCAGGCCATGCCTAAGTGGCTGGGCCATGCCCTCTTTCTCCCTGCATGGCTGAATCAGGGTGGGGCTGCCTCCTATTCCTGTCTATGTGTCCAGATCAGGCCCACTAGCTAGACTGGCCCATGGAGAGACCAGGAACTGCCCATCCAGCCCATGGGGCATAATGGTTAAGCAGCACTGGTCTAACCAAAATGTGTATACATGTATACGGCACAAGCTATTGTGAGCCCAAGCTCATCTGATGCTAGGCTATACCTATACCTATACCTAGCCAAGATCTAGTGAACAACAATAAAAATTACTTGATCATGGCCTAACTTTTGATGTATTTAATAAGCTACAGCAGTGAAAGCAGGTGTGCCTTTTGGGCAGGTATGCCACAAATTGGCCCAGCACCCTCCCCACTCTAATCCCCTTCCCCTGCCAGATCTGCTGTTCTGCTTTCTGCTTCCTTCTCTGTGCTCCATGCCCAACATGATAATTTGCTTTCTGCTTCCTCCCTGATCTGCCACTGTGCTCCCTGCCCCCTCCCTGATTTGACCCATGCCACACATAAGCTTCCATTGCTACTTGTGGCACCCATACTGCAGATTGGCCACCCTTGAACTACACTATGTAGTACTGGTGAGCTATGGATAAATCCCTTGGAGTGCCACATAGCAGCAAAGGGAGCTGCAGGAAGTGGATGAATAGGTGGAATTCTTCATATCTTCTCTGGGACAGGATGAGGAAAATGTCCCTTAGAGCCTTACATGGATCCCCTAAGTGCTAAGCAAGACACAGGAGGACAGCCTTCTAGCCATTCATCACAGGCTACTTACTGGGTAATGGCTTTCTTCTCAGAGAAGATTCTCAGGCAGAAGTCAGCTTCCCGGTGTGGCTCAAAAGTGCTAGGAATAAGAACATAATCCCCAGGTGGCAGCTGGAATCGATCAGAGATTTCCCTTAGATTAATGTAGGTTTTGCTCCTTGCCTTGGAAGCATGGTATCTGAAGAAGTCTTTGGGCAAGTGGCCATCCTTGCTAGGGCTCTGCAATAGAGATACTTTTTAATTACTGTGTTCAGAGTAATCAAAGTGTTGGGACAGATACATCAGACTCTCACCATTCTTCATGATCTAGAATCACAGAGCCAAACTTCCACCCTTGAATGCAAGCATAACATAGTCTACCATTAAGGATCAGAGAGCCATTGCTGGCACCCTGGCCTTCATCTCACCTTACTCTGTCATGTAAAGTGGAGCTTGGATGCAGTGAGACAGTCTAGCTCAATGCTTCTCAACTTTTTTTGTACCAGGACCCATTTGTAAACATTGATGGGTAGTCCTGACTCAATAAATAGTTTAAATAGAAAACAGCCCCCTGGCCTTGCCAGTGCCCCCACCTCCTAAACCACAGACTCCCACTCCCCCCAGCCCTGCTGGTGCTCCTAACTCCTGACCCACTTCCCCCTGTCCCCAGGCCCCAGCTCCCCAGTGTGTGGGGCAGGGGGTGGGAGGTGGGACATGGTGGGGAATGTGCCCCCCCATATTTGTGCACTCAAAATAGGCACAGGGCTGCAGCCTGACCAGACTGGAACAGGACGGAGACACCTCCATGGTTCAGCAGGCAGTACCAGCACAGGAGGGTAGAGTTGGGGCAGTGAGATTTGTTGCTGCTACCACCACTGGGACCCCTGCACCAGCTGTGCCAGCAACAGCATGAGGAGTAATGGATGGGGGGAATGGGGGCGCTGTACTGTGCTCACCTCCTCCCACTGCCAGCTGCTCATGCACTGGGTTGTGGCTCTACCCTGCTGTCATGGAACAGCCACCACTGCTGCTTTCGTGAGGTCGCCCATGCTGCCTATCAGCAATCATGCCCTCCAGGGTAGAGCTGTGGCCTGAGGGGAGTGGTGGCCAAAGTTCCCTCTAAGGAGTAGCAGTCTGTGAGCTTGCCACCTCAGTCCAAGAGCGCGCCGCCTTGGTCCAGCTTGGGACACTTATCGAAGGGGGCTTGGGGCCGGAGGCTGGAGCTAGGGGCTGGAGGCTGGGCCTGAGGCTGGGGGCTGGAGACTGGGGGTTGGGCCTG